AACTTGCTGTTGTAAAAGTACTCCATGTCAGCTTTTCTGTTTTGCTCCACCAAATTGTTATTTAGGGATTAAGTAACTAACAAGTGTTTAAATACTGTAAGGATTCATATTATTGCACTAAGCCACTCACCTGGTTCCTCTACCAAGAAGACATCACATCAAATTCACACCCTCAGACACCTGTACCAATGTTTTTAATGCCCGGTGTTGCCGCCCTTTTATTATGTAATTAAGACACACCCACTTCATGCCATCATCACAAAATTGCTCAACCCCCACTCATGTTTTGGGGGAGTTGTTATCAAGGAAACACCCCAGGCTTTTAACTAGTTGAGCTTTACATTTGTTCAGTGCTCTGTTTTGGTTTCCTTCTGGTCATCCAAGAACACTTTATATTGTGACTACTCTGATTTCCGTACCCCTGACCCTGGCTTGTGTAATCAAATTTGTGTACCTCTGTTGACCTTTGATTGTTTGTTGTCTGTGCTATGTCTCTGTGCTTTTTATGTTAAGCCTATATCTATCCTTGTTTTTGTCCTGTGTGACTATTCTGCGTGTTGGATTGTTTTCTATCCTGATACATTTTATGTGTTTCTGTTCCCCCAATAAACTCCCACCTTCCAACAGTTCAGGAGTGTTGACTGTGATCTTTTGTATGTATGTCCTATGGAGCCACAGTGTTTGTTTACATCGAGCACACCCTGGACAGAAAGACAGCCATATGAGGCAGAGCTCAAATGCAGTGACTTTGGTTGCAAATTGGTTGTATTTTTGCAAGCTACAGAGCAACCAGAGCTATTTTTAGATTGCCCAGGGCCTTAGGCAGTATACCAAACTGGGGCTTATTCCAAGAGTCCTGTCCTCTGTGTTGTTTGCGTCTGAGAGAAACTGAGTATTGTGTGAGGTAAAGGGTGTGCTGTGCATGTGGAAGAGAGCGATTGTGCCTGTGTGAGCTGGTCAAGTTGTGTTTGTTGTGGCTACATTTTGTGTGTGAATGAGTCTGCATGTTGTCTGTGTGGAGGAGACTCTGAGCGAGCCTAAATTTATATGAAGAGAACATTGTGTCTATAGTGTCTGAATATTAAGGGAATATTTTTCACTTGCCCCCCTTCCTTGTTACATTTCAGAAGTTGGTGGGGTATAATCCCTTGTGGTCCAATGTAGGGTACACTGAGAGCAGAATCACTGGTGGTCCAGTGGGGAGCTTTATCTGGGTTCAGATCACTTTAATTGTTCCTTTACAGGCCTGGTGCTAAGATAATGACTTAGTTTGCTGGCTTCAGAGCTCCTAGTCATTGAAAAGCAAGCGCCCTCAATCTTGTACAACACAACACAAATGCTGGACTGGCTTAGGGAGGGCCCCTCACAGACAGTGCTGGAGCTCTAAGACCAGAAAGAGGTTATCTAGGTTCCTGTCTGCGCCCAGAACATATACAGTCACCTATGCCACCTTTGGATAATCTAGCTCTGAGATATACAGACAGACAGATAAGATGGTTAACAAGTGGAAATGGGAATAACACTAATTGTAAAATAGTTTTTGATGTGTTATTTGGTGTGAGTTTGGCTGAAAGTCATAGTTTATATACAAACACTCAACAGTTGATTATTTACTGATTTACAGTGTGATTTACCATGTAACTGAATAATTATCCAAGTTAGTTCAGCATGAGAGATTGCAGGCTTGTAGTATTTGGAGAAGATACAGAAGGTAATTGAGTCTAACATTTGGCAGGATGCTGCATATTACATTCAGAAAAAATAACAGTGGACTTCCCCAGCCAATATCTCTAAATTAGAGATTATCCAAACCTTTCCTCTAATCTTGCCAGATTTCTAGAATTTGTTATTAATAAGATTTAACAAATCAGTCTCCTTGCATATTACGAAGGAAAGTCTCAAAAATGTTTAAATACATTTTAAAATGAATAATGCAAAAGTGGCCACCATCCATGTCTTGTAAGAATCCTAATTAAGACATTCAAATTTAGTCCATCAATTTTTGAAGTCCTCAATTCTCTAAAAACTAAAATAAATTAATTTATGGATACTATTCAGCCTTTCTTGCATATTTTAAAATTTTAGTATTGAGTATTGCCAAGGTCACATAATTAAGACATATTATCAATGTGATTGATTTTTTTTTAATTTTAATTATTTTTTAAAAAATTTTGCTAGATAACAAAACCATAATAAACCAATTGTCAGAAATGTTTTTGCTAGTGTATTTGTATTTGGATGCCCATTCAGCCAGCCTTTAAAGACAAGAGGAATGTACTTTTTAATTTAATTTTATAATGCTGGCGCTAATTTTTTTTTGTCAGTCACATTTTTTATTGTGGCACAGGGTAATATCACATAGGCAAACAAGTGTGACATGTTAGCTTAGACATATAGTAGTTATGCAATAAATATGTGGCATTTGTAATCAGGCTATGATCATAAGATGAACAGAATAGTATGTCACATTGGAGATTAGAAACATAAATGAGAAAAAAACAACAAGGTGCATGAATTGTGTGAACTGCTGTAGTTAGTCAAGCAGGTGACGAGGAGATATACCGATCGGGCAGGTTTATGCTGGTCTTCAGGCCTAGCGCCAGAAATGTAGGTAAGTGGCCCAGCATCTCTAGTTGGTTATCCAACTGTCTCTCTTCCAGCTTTGATAGCTCCACACTGGATAGCTCCACAATGTGTTTTCTGTCTCAGTTTTCTTATTTCCCGCTTCAAGCTTTCTCTGCCCCAAGTGCACAGCCCGAGATCCAGGAGGTGCCAGACGGCTGTCGCGTTGTCAGGAGAGGTTCTTGAGTGGCTTGTGGAACTGGTGCATCTTGTTTGGCACATAGTTTCTACCAAAAGGCAGTGAATACTTCCTCCAGACGGCACAGGAGAGATAGTGTCTCTTTGTAGGAGCACTCACATCGTCCACCATTTTAAGTGCTGGTCTCTGTGTATTTTCAGAAGTTGCGGTCTCACTGCATGTCACCTGTGAAGTCAAGGAACTCTCTGTGTGGGGACTGGGATCACCCTCATGGGTCCAAAGGGAGAGAAGGGGGACAGTTTCATGTTTCAGCAAGACATCAAGTGTCAGGCCAGGAGAACGGCCGCCTCTCCCCTCAACAAGGCCCACCACACCTCGCACTCAGCCAGCAGAGATCTTCATCCAGACGACTACTCCATTCGATAACTAGGAAGTCAGTAAACTGTTGCAGGATATCAGGGACTATCAGGTAAGTCAGGCTAGCAAGTGAAAATTACAGGTGACTGGACTACATTTGTGTGAGTTCTCAAAAAACACACTCAGTCACCATTGCAGTCAGGCCTTTCCCCCACCTGGTGCTAAAATATAGCCTTAGAAATCCCCGGTGTGTTTCCTGCTCCTAAGGACTATATTTGCTCTGCTCTACATTGCCTGTTACTGCCTGTGGTTACTAGGGAGGTGATGGATGAAAATAGTTACCCTTGATATCCAGAAAAGTTCATGTGACATAGACCCCCAGGGATGGACTGGTACTAAACTGCACCCATGCTTTTAAAACACCTAAACTAGATGTGGGCATTCAGATTCACACAAGAAGAAAATTAAAGAGCCTGTGGGATGTGGGTATGGGGTAGCGAGTAGGTGGTAAGTACAGCTGCTTTCTTCCTCCCATTTTAATCCCTCACCCATAGATATGTATAGGGGAGTCCTTTGAAAGGACCTCCCATTTTAAGGTCATGAAATAGAGATATGGAGTGGCGGGCATTTATGTTGCCTACCTGTTAGAATTTTTAATCTCAGAGTAGAGACGTACTGGATATCGCACTCACTAAGTAACCCAGGTGCTCTGAAACCAAGGCTGGCCATGCCTCTCTTCCAAGATATGCAGAATAAATAAAGGTTCAGGCACTCCAGGATAACAAAAAATAGCAGCTTTATTGGTGCAAAAACAGCAAAGTTTTGACCCTACAGGGGTCACAAGGCTGAGAGAAAAAGCAGCAAGCTGTGAGTATGGCTCCTTGAGAGATGAACTTATTTGTGACAAAATAGTTCTAGGTATTAATACTGAGAGTACCTGCTGCTGTCTATTGAGGGAACATGATTTAAACCTACATGCAGCAATTGAGATATGTCGCACTGCAGATGAAGCAGGATAAACAGACTGACAGTATCCATGCAGCCTTTAAGCAACAGCTAAGCTTGAAGAACCACCAGCACAAGCATCAACACCAAAGCACCTCACCTGTGAGCAAGTCTACATCATGTAAGTACTGTGGCAGCATACATGTGAGAGAGAGAGGAACAGTGTCCTGCATATGGGAAAACATGTAGATCATGTGGGAGGCTAAATCATTTTGCTGGGGTATGTCTGTCAAGAAGAAAGGAAGCAAGGAAGCTAAACACAATTGAACACATGTCTGATTCTGAGGATGCACTCCTGCTTAGCAATGATGTGATTTACTCCAAGGAATGCATTGGTGCTATGAAGTCTAAGGGCAAAAAATGGTTTGTAAATCTCAGACTGAATAATATATGCCAACCCTGCCAGCTGGATTCTGGTGCAACATGTGATGTCATGAGTTTGAAAGACAAGATGAAACTGGCACATGGGGAACCACTTCAAACCAGCAGCACCAAGCTGAAGCTATATTCAGGGGAACTAATGAAATCATTGGGACTTTTCCAAACAGAGTGCAGCATACGTGAAAATATACACAAACTTGAATTTGAGATTGTTGAAGCCAATCAGAAACCGCTATTGTCTAGTTCAACATGTGAGCGCCTGGGACTGATGCAATTCACAATTCCTGCAGAGCTGCACAATGTTGATAACCAGCTTGCAAAGCCCTTGACTAGGCCACTGACAAAACTGCAAATCCTCAATGTCTATAATGATGTGTTTACTGGCCCAGTAGTATCTGTTCCAGGAGTGGTTCATTTTGAACGGGATCCTACTATTCCACCAGTACAATGTGCCCCACGCAATGTGTCTATAGCCATTAAGCCACAAGTAAAAGCGCAACTGGATAAGTATGAAGCTGACGGACATCTTACATCAGTATCAGAGCCAACTGACTGGATAAGCAACATGGTAGTTATTAGAAAGCCTGAAAAGATTAGAATTTGCATTGTTCCAAAGTTTCTTAACATGGCCCTGAGAAGGTCACACTACATGATGCCAACACTTGAGGATGTTTTGCACAAACTGCCTAAAGCACGGGTTTTTACACTTGTTGATGCAAGAGATGCCTTTCTACAGTGCAAACTGGATGAAAAGAGTAGCTACATGACCACTTTCTGGACTCCCAGGGGCCGAAAGAGATGGCTCAAGCTGCCGTTTGGAGTCTCTGTAGCCCCAGAAGTATATCAGCAAAAGCAACATGAACTGTTAAGTGGACTCCACGGTATTGAACCAATAGCAGATGACATTTTTATAATTGGCTGTGGTAATACAGATGAGGAAGCTGAGCATGACCAGGATGAGAAGATAGTAGCATTATTGGATCGCTGCAGGCAGGTAATGCTGAGACTCAGCGTAAAGAAATTACAATTCAAGGTACAAGAAGTCCGCTTCCATGGACATATCCTGTCTCAACAAGGCTTGAAAGCTGACCCAGATAAGATTAGAACCATTGTGGACATGCCATGGTCTGGTGACACCAAAGCAGTGCAGCGTTTTATTGGCTTTGTCACATAGCTAGCAAAATTCATGCCACATTTGTCTGAGGTGTGTGAGCCATTGAGAAGGCTTCTAGATAAAGATGCAGTTTGGCATTGGCTTCCCAAGCATGACCAGGCAGTGGAAGAAATAAAACGCTTGATCACAGCTGCCCCAGTGCTAAAATATTATGATGTAAAAAAGCCTGTTACAATACAAAGTGACTCAAGTAAAAATGGCCTAGGATGTTGTCTATTGCAAGAAGGTCAGCCAGTTGCATTTGCATCCAGAGCACTCTCTTCAGCTGAGCAAAATTATGCTCAAATTGAAAAGGAATGTTTAAGCATTGTTTTTGCCTGTCAGCGTTTCCATCATTATCTCTATGGCCGGGATGCAATCATTGCTCTAGCATGTAAGCTCATGTAACCTCAACCCCTGTGTTCCTGTGTGTCCAACTTGTCTGGTTACAACTACATGTCTGTTCGTCCACCCATTGTAAAGCGCTGCGGAATTTGACGGCGCTCTATAAATATCATAATAATAATAATAATAATTGCTGAAACTGATCACAAACCGCTAATAGCCATATTCAAGAAGCAGCTTTTATGTGCTCCAAAGTGTTTGCAGAGCATGATGCTTACATTGCAGAATTACAATCTCAATGTTGTGTATAAGCCAGGATTTGAAATGTACATCAGTGACACCCTAAGCAGAGCTACAACAGAACATGTGGCACCTGGAGGTGAGCATGAGCATTTTGCAGTTTGTTTGTTGCAGCAGGAACAGAATTTCTTTGCCAAAGTCAATCAAGCAGACTATCTTAATGTCACAGATCAGCGGCTACATCAGCTCATACAGCACACAGAAAGTGATGCAATTTTGCAAGCACAGAAGTCTATAGTTCTGATGGGGTGGCCAGATGAAAAGGATGCAGCACCTGCAATTGTGAAGGAATATTGGTCCTTCAGAGATGAGATCATGGAAAGCCATCTTACATTTGGGAAACACAACAGAGGGTATGGATTTTTGTCCGGCACAGACACTGATGTCAAGGAGATTAAAGAACTCCTTACCAGTAGCCAACAAGCTACTTGAACCCTCTGTAATACAAGGTGTACCAGAAAAGTTACGACTTAAGAGGTAAGTGTTTAAGGCTATATATGACTCAACTGCTAGGGATTTACCTGAATTGAATATTGGGGAACAAATCCGTATGAAACCACTTCCTGGAGATCGAACAGGTCGCTGGAGAATGGGAACCTGTCTGCAAAAGGTTGCACCATGCTCTTATATTGTGGATATCGAAGGAACTCTCTAACGATTCAATCGTGTGGATCATCGAGTGGCTGAGAAGCCCAATTCTCAATATCCAGTTGACAAGCCAGACACACCTGGTATTCCAAGGACACACTCACATGTCGGCAGTGAAGAAGAAGTGATACCACAGACTAGTACTAATGACAGCCCTGAGCAAGTAGGACCTGACAGCAGTCAAGTTCAAAGCATGCCAGTAAGTGGTGGGAAGAGTCCAGTAACCTCGGAGAGGGCTAAAAGACTATTTGCACAACCTGGACCAGTTGTCACTTGTAGTGGCAGACATTCACAACCACCTGAGAGACTTAACCTCTAGAATGTTATTACAAGGACAGTGTTTCACAATGTTGATTTATTAATACTAAAAGAGGGAGATGTTATGGATGTTATGTTTTGTTTACATGCAACTAACTCTATGGTTTATTCTCTATTGCACGAGTTTCCTTCCTGTATCTCCTAAAACATGGCTGCTATACACTAATAGCTTGCAGTCTCTTTATTTATATCTCCTGAAACAATTGGCCACCTCACCCCAGCCCCGCTCCCAGTAGGCCGCAATAGATTCGTCCGGGCATTCCGCCGCGGAAATTGTCAGGAAAGGTATCAATCTGCGTGCCCAGAGGTCCCTGACCCAAATAATGCTTGTTGCGTATTAATTAAGTGCAGTAGCTGGGATTTATGCCCCAAAATCTGTCAAAGTCAGAGGAGCTCAAAATCTGCATGTCTTTCCAGCTTGAAGGTCAGGCTCCGCCCCCTATTCTGAGTATTTTTCATCTCAACCTCGGCAAATAGGTACAAGTCATTTCCCACGTGCTTCCTATTGTAAACTATTTTTTTCATCACACCTTTTGTCAGGTACTTCTAATTTTAAACACATTTCTCCCATCTTTCTGACCAAGGAAAGTGCAGCACTCACCCACAAGTCTATCCTCTCCCTTGCCACTTATCTGTAACAGGCATAAGGGGAACATTTGGTTGTTCTCTCTCTTCATTGAACTAAGCCTGGCAGTGCAAGTCTTAGCTCATTAGCTGGGAGCTATAAAATGATGCTCTCAGCCAATGTGCTAACCCTGCACTGAAGAACTTAGGAGAGCTAATGAGCGTTTTTGAGCAGAAGCTTACAGTTCTCATTGAGCAGTAATAGAAGTGGGAATTGCAGCCCGGGGGACCCCAAATAAGAAGTCAAACTGATTTTAAAATTGGGAACACTCCAGTGGCTATGCTGCTTGGAGAGTACCTTTAACCCCTTAAGGACACATGACATGTGTGACATGTCATGATTCCCTTTTATTCCAGAAGCTTGGTCCTTAAGGGGTTAATCACATTTAAGAGCAGTCTTGGAGTATTCCTTAAAGCAGCTTTACTATCCTGCTGTATTTTCTTTCTATCTCACCTTGGTGAGGCCTTTTACTTTACATAGATACCTGACAGTTTTGGCACTGACAACTGTGTAATACTGCCTTCAGTATTAATACAAATATATGCTGGGCAAATATAAACTAACATCATTTACAGAGACCATGACAGCACTAAGGAAATGTATTGTTTTTAAGCACATAATAATCACTATTATGACCCACCATTGCAAGCCTTAAAAATACCCATTCTGCTTAATACTACTATATAACAACAGTGTATCATGAATGCTCCCTAGCCTACTCGAAGGCTCTACTTCATTTATCATAGTTTTGTTTTCTTGTGCTATTTTAAATGTTTTATGTACACTGTACATAGTTTTATTTGACAGGTTATACATACAGTTTTCATCACTCATTAATATTTTCTCAAATGCAAATTTTCCTTTCATCGTGCCCCCTTTATTATAATAATTGTGCTCTCTACCTTGTAACTTTATTTATATTTAATATCTTTCCTTTCTTGTGCCAGACTTCAATACCTGGGTGCAGCTGTGTTGTACTCCTCTGCCCATAATGTTTCCGGGATTCATTTTACTGATGGATTGTGGGTAAATATGATTGGTAAATGAAACTGAACATTGCTTTAAGCTTCACCAGTGGTGTATTTTGAATTTGTGCTGCCCTAGGCATGATGGAACTCTGACACACCCTAATTTAAATTTGCCCCACCACTACTGGTCAAGGCCACACCCCTTCCTGTTAAAGACAAACACATGCTTTGACTGACATACACAAAGACACACCCATTGACTGACCGGCACACACTCTCAGATACACTGACATACACTCACAGGTAAACACACATACTCACACACTCACTGATTTGACACAATCTGACAGACACACACAATTACTAATTTGACACAATCTGACAGACACACACAATCACTCTGACATGCACTGATAGACATACACACACATTCACTGACAGAGACACACAAACTTAATCACACATACTCCCTCACAGAAACACACATTTACTGACAAACAAACTCACTGACAGGCACACTCACAGATATAAACACACATTCACTGACAGACATACACACACTCACTGACACACACACTGACAGACAAACACACACTGACATACAAACACACTCAGACAGACAGACACACACAAACTAACAGACAGGTATATACACACATATACTGACAGACATGCATACACACATTCGTTGACATACAAACAAACTCACTGACAGATACACTCACTCAGACACACTGACAGATATAACAACACATTTACTGACAAACACATACACACACACACTGACAGATTGACACACACACACATTTTCCACAAACTTTTACAAATAATTATTTACTTTTATTTTAATTTAAATCCACCTAGCCTCCCTACCTTTGGGAGAGCTGGGTGGATTTTGTCCTGGGGTCCAGTGGGGCTGCTGGACTGGCATCCCATAAGTCAAGGCAAACAAGGTATTTGCCAGGGCACTTTGGGGCGGTGTTTTTTGCCACCCCCTGGAAAGTGCCGCCCAAGGCAAATGCCTTGTTTGCCTTGCACTAAATACAGCGCTGAGCTTCACCCATTGTCATGTTCTGTCAGTCCCTACTTTTCTTTATGTATATTATGAAAACTGGAGTACTTAGGAAAAAGAAATTAAGAGATTCAGACAGCAGATCAGATGAAGTTTATTTTTGGTGGCCGATCCACTTTGACTGAAGATTCTCTACATATATCTTTCTGCAATGATAACCACTAGAATACTTACTTCTCAGAAGTTGGTCTCTGGTTCTTTGTGTTTGACACTTTCTGCTCTTGGTGTAGAGATCTGTTTTGTAACTTTATCATTATTCCACAAGGGATGTTGGAGGTTAGCTACAGGATGTCCTCCTATGAGTATTTCGCATGTGTCCTGCACATGGCCATACTCCCATATTCATATATACTTTTTTTTCATGAATCTTGATTATATTG